GACGATCGGAGTCTTTAACCTTTATTGAAAACAGCAATTTAAGAACAGCAGCGGTATGTAGAAGCAATGAAGTTCAAAAACGACAGTGACCTGACCCCTCTGGGGTTAGGCTTATATATCTTAGAGGATGGGCGTGGTTTACANTGAACTTTCAAGTACCGTAAATAAAGCGGAACTTAAGGAATATAGATATGTTGGAAATGATTTATGGTTTCATCCGCATTAAGATACAATGACCAAGAAATTTATCTCACTATTTGTTTGAGGTTTCGTTTTCACGACACTGCGGGTAATTTCACAAGCAATCATGATAGGAAACCTGGTCATCATAAGCCACACTTTCATCGGTTCCTGCATTCTCTAACATGTGGATAACTATCTTGACTGCTTTTACGAATATTTCCTGAACGATTGATTCCATACTTCCCGGTGTGTTCAAGCGTTCCAGTTCTACATTTTCCAATTCTGGCTCTCCTGGAACTGGAGAGTCTTCACTGCAGTTTTCCCAATCTTTTTCCGCCATGGCCTCTCCATATTGCTCGGTAGTCGCTATTGTCGCAACATCCATCTTATGGTCACACTCACCTAACTGATCCGATAAACCTTCTGATACATCTTCCATCAATTCATCCTCGTATGATGCAGTGACCAAAGGTCCTTCGTCCTAAAATAGGAACATCACAAGATTCCAGAATTATTTTATTTAAAATTTGGCAGCAAACCCGGATAGGTTTCTGAACTTCCACATTATTTTTAATCTCCCTGATTAGTAGAGTGCATTTAAAAGATGCCGAATTTGCAAAAATGCCGAAAAATTCTCCAGGAAAGTTTTGTAAGCGTTTTTAAATCACGAAAAGTTATGCTTCGTTAATTTGGAAATTTAAAGTAGCTGTTATAAAAAATGCACTATTATAATGAAGAAATTAATTCGATAGAATCAATTAATATGATCTAATGCAACAAAATTTCCCCTTGTGTCCAACATCTTTTCGAAATGCATTTTCCTGTCTTCGTCCATCCAGTTGATTGTTTTGTATGTATTGGCGCCTCACGCGATTTTATGCACTATTATATTTTGCATAAAATTTATATTGCGGCCAACAAGTAGTGTGTTATATTAAGTTTAATCTGACGCTTGATGTTGTTTAAATAAAATATTTTGCTTAGCAAAATAAGGTATGTTGAATCCCAACTCTTTCTTGTTGGGGAATTTACATAAAATATCGTTTGATGCAACAATATCGGCTAACTTTAGATGAAAAATGATTCAACATGGGATAAATTGGTTTCCAGTACTTTTTAAAACAAAAAACATTCTCTTACATTCAAAGACAGCCAGATTATAACAAACTGAAACACATATAAATCAGTAGTCACCCTCAACTCGACGTATGTTCTTGCAGCTAAAATGATTGCCACGATATACATACTGCGCAAATTAACAATAAATGGAAGTTGGGGTTATTATGGCTCCCAGTAGCGCAGAGATGAAAGCATCAAGATCAATATATGCCGAAGTCTTCCCACTAGCTCCAAAAACTGTCAAGGAAAACCTAATACTGCTAGACAACTGCTAGCAACTGGTGAAACAGATTCTCATTATCTGTCTGCCTACATTATCTGTTCGCCTGTAATAATCCTGCTTCAAATAGTTATGATTTCAAAAAAGAAATGCTGAGAATCAATCATATGTTAAGAGAGTAGACCATTAATATGAGCGTAAACCGATTTCCAGTTGAATGCTGTGAGTCATGACTTAAGGCTGGAAACTTTAACCGTTTTTCTCAAAATTGTAATATCTTACGACATTTTAGGCGTGTGCAACCGTCGGTGTGGTAATTGGGGATATGATATAACTCTTCCATCGAAAACAAAGTAATGAAGGTTGAGGTCATCGTTAAAGTGAATGGTTCCGAAAATTGCTTCCAGTAAGTTCTCTCTCTGAACCGGTACTCTATCTAGACAATTATTTAATTCAGAATTTATCTGGCTTGCTCAATATCGCTCCTTCGCTTTCTTGATTCCACGGAATCATATTTTTAACCACAGGATAAAAACCAACCGTAACAAAAAAACGACTTTGGAACTATTGATTTATATGTTTCTTTTGGATTAATCGGTGAAGAACAGTTCATCTCAATGCAAAAAATGTGAAAACTATTGAGGAGTGTTCACCGTTACGTCTAATTCGTATTTGGTCCAGAACAGAATGCTTCCCATAACTAGAAAAAGTCGAAAACCACAGTGCTGCATAAAGCATAAAATAATGTAAAAAATTTTGTTTGATTTAACTTTTCTTGTTGCTTGTCATTTCTGTTTTAAGACAAACATCTAATGAATAATCAGATTGTCTTATAGGAAACTTCAATGAACAATAACTACCAAAACAGGCAATCATTTCGCACTCCGAGATATATGTTCATTTTTAACCAGAAGTCGAAGAGGAATGAAACTTCCAAATTTCAAAGTGTCGTATGACAAAAAAAAGCAAATTACATCTCACTTACATTTAAATTACCAATCCAAAATTACAGATCTGCAAATCTTAACGAGAACGGAATGTAACTACGATTCCTGCATAATTTTGACTTTCTGTTTTAATTCGTAATTTTATCTCTTGTAAGCATTCAATGAAAAAACCTGAGGCATTGTGTCATCCAGAATTCTTGCAACCATTTCACCGCATAAATCCACCTCATTGTGAACAGCTCTCACCAAACGAAATCGAAGCAAGTCAATGATACTGTCCAAAGTATTAGCACTTTTCTCGCGATTATCATCTTCCTGAGACATTTTTTTCACTGCCAACTTGATATTTTCCTTCTGCAACATGAACTGTAGAAATGGACCTCTCTCTGAGAAGTGCGGAATCAGTTTTGCATGTGCACATTTCATTTACTAATATAGCAAGCTGTCTTCAACTTTCACTCATGCTGTTCTATAATAACCAATCAAAGCTCTTGGGGATTTTTAACAACATGCTAGCTAACACATATCTGCCTCGTCTCATATCACCTATCTAAGTCCCATCACTATCGTCGACTACCACCCAAAATCCTTTGCGCGCCTCTTTTCATTTCAAATGTGCCACACGAACAAAGCACATAATTTACATGAATTGGTAAGATTTGCACGTAGACAATTCATGTTCTATAACAGAGAGCCGCGTGAATGAGTGTGAGCAATGTTTCAGGTTGATGGAGTGGATGAGTGAGGCAGAGTGCGTGTACTAGATGCACTAGATTCCAGAAGAGTGATAGACCGTGAGAATGACTGCTACTTGTCCAAGTTGCTACCATTTTGTGCGTAATTCTTCAGTTTTATTTATAGTAAAGGCAATTATTATTCATGATGATAATTTGGATGAGTTTTTTCGGTAGCTTGCGAATTTTGCATATCGATGTGTACTATGCTTCACAAAAGGCAGTGAGGAAAAATAGGAGAAAGAGGAGGGATTGGAGAGACTACTGGAAGTTATTACCTCACCTAAGTCCTAAAGCTTTTTCAGGTTCTTTGCCTTATATTATTGTTTGTTGGATTTTTATTTCTTGATGGTTCATTTCAATAATTAATGCCCGCTATTACTGCATTCATCCGTCTCATCATCAAGTGCTCTTCATATTGTGATCACAATCGAACAAATGCCTCTATTCTGCGAATGATTAATGTTATCCGCTAATTCTCTGTTATTCACTTTCCTCACTCTATTTTTTTATAAATGGAACATAAAAATTACAGGTATCAATTTGTTAGATTTTCTTACTTTTTTGGATGATGTGTTATTTTGTGTGCTAATAGAATATCCATAGAAATTTTGCTTTTAATATGTATGTATATGACCTTTTTTATTTATACATATATTTATACGTTTGAGCGAACGTTCCAAACAGAAGTCTATGGAGCATAAGAGATTTGTGACATCTCAAACGAAAATTAGTTATAGAAAGTTTAGCAGTGCACACCATGAAATTTCAAACCATAATGTGGGATCTTTATAAATAAATCAAAGAATTTGTCAATACATTACTGAATTCTGTTTGAATTGGAAGAAGTGATCTACGGCAATTACATTAACAAGCGGAATGAAAGGAAGATTTGAGTGACATTGGTACATGATTGAGCCCAACATAATCGCGTACCGACGTTACTAGGTAATTCCTGATTTTAATGAACAGTTGGAGCCAAAAATCTTTTTTCAGTTTCTGAAATTTCAAAATTGGAGCAAAATATTTCGATACTGATATTATTTTAGACTGTGATAGTAACAAATAGCTATGTAAATAGCGATATTAGATGTACAATGGTTGAACAGAAATACTTGCAAGCCGCAGTGAATAAAAAAAGATTTGAGAAAGTCTATTTTTAGTGGAATGTTTCCAAATTAAACAGACCACAGCACTATGAAGCTTCGGTCCCTGTAAGAAATGCAGATCAAAGATATTTATTTACAAATCCGAGCGTAAGTTTTATCTTAATCCGTCCTACACAGATGACAGTTTCCGAACGAGTAAATCCTATTTTAACATATGATTACGACATAGTTCCGGTGCATGCATGGTTCAAAACTCCATATTTTAGATATGTTCAAGATGAAAGCGTCGTGGGTGGTCTGTAGCAGAGCGCTGTGTTGACAACATGGACCACCAAAGATGTTCGCTGCAGCAATTTGAGTATGTTGCCGGACGTCGTCAACATTTTATCGATGTAAACGATGATCTTCATGGGCGGTCTTGTATTAACTTTGCTAATGTAAATTTTGCGAAAGAAGAACCATACGGCGAATGAATCATAGATTTTTGAAAAGTGTCCTAAAGGTGTTGAAATCAAATATTGGATAGAATTCGCAAGAAAAATTTTTTCACTCAATTTTGCATGTTTCTTTTGGCTTACAGCAGTACGTCTTTATTCATACTGGGATATGGGCATATCTAGCCTCGTTTTTTGCCATCTCATAATGAGTATCGCTTACTTAGATGTTTGACGAATTGGAAAATTAGTAGCACATATTTGAGTAGGCTAATCAAAGAGAGAGTTAGAAAAAGATGAAAGAAGAGAAAGAATACTTTCCGGATAATCAAAGTAATTATCATCTTTCGCAAGAAATAATACTTATTAATCACCTGTACGCAAAATTTATCGTTTTTTTTTCAAGTATATTTCATTTAGTTCTGTGTAAAGTATCTGTTATCGAAAATCAGCAGAATTTGAAGCGATAAATGTGGTATAGAAAAGTAGTGTCGTCACTTTATATTTTGTTAGTTGCTGAGATTTGAAAAATGCAGAATGAACGTTTAGTGAGCAGTGGATGACTGAAAGACTAAGATGACATAAAAAGAATAATAGTTATGATGTGAGGCATGCGACTCCATGGCTTGAAGTTTACTAAAATTGGGTTCGGAATTAAGAGTTGGTAATTTTCTTTTATTATCATTACTAATGTTTGATTTGCGCATAACAATTAGATTTATTTTTTGAGATCGAAGAAAGATCGAAGGTTGAAACAGAATGAGGCTGAACTCATAATCTTCATCAGTAATTACTTGTGTGATGGGATTTGCAATCTTGCAAACAGTTGAATGCACTAACTAATTATTTCGCTAGTCTTATTATGGAACTTCGAATCGCTGATAACAATGCACTAGGAAACATTCGATTTTCCAAAACTTTTATGTGAAAAACATGAAATGGAAAACTTTGTGGAAGTGTAAATGTTTTCAATACCTTCGAAGAGCTATCCGTATTGTTTGAAATTCAAACTTCATTTTCGCTACATGATGTAGTACAAAAATTTCTGAAAATCAACACACATTTTCCCATTATCCGATGCATAGTTTGTTTGCTAAGATAATTTTTATTATTCCAGTTCTCTGCCTCTTAGGATTATCACTGATGTTAGTTATAATTCTGCAAACGGAGATCTGCTTACCATTATTTCCGGCAATTATACAAATATTAGGTCTTATTTCAGTGAATGTGAAAATTCCAGATATGACAATAAATTCCTGAGAGAATTTGTTTTTAATATTGGACTTTTTGAAAAGCTGTCTACGAACTACAGGTACATTGAAATTAAGCCGCTTCGTCTTAAATTACGACTCATAATGGTGCAGAATATTATTTAAAAAAGCATGACCATATGTTTCTTGAAAACTATATGTTTCGAAATACTAGCTTTCGTATTTTAACAGCACCTATTCAACATGGTGTTACTGATAATCTTGTAATCGATTTCGTTATGTAAAGGTTCTGAATCAAAGATTAATTCATAGGTAATGACATCAGCTTCTAATTGAATGTTCCAAAAAATCAAATTCTTGTTTTGTGGTTCTTATAGTTTCTATTACTATGGAATCCACATTTGTATGACTCTTGGAGCCAAGCGTTAATCTGCATTGAAGCATCTTTTAATACAGATCTAAACCTAATGTTTCTCCTCTGCTCATTTTTCGTTTAAGCATTTCTCTGGGGTGTAGTGATGCCCAGTACTTTTGCCGAATTTTTGATTTAATACTCAGGTATGGTCAATGCTTCTCTTATATATACATCCTAATTTGCTCTGAAATTGAATAAAAATTGTTCAGTATTAAAAATACTGTCTCAATATTGTGAATAGTTTTTTTTAAAATTAGAATCCAAATCCTCCGAAATACGCTCTAATTATAACGGTCAAAAAATGGCGCATGACGTAAGACAAGCCCATGAAATGATTTATTCTTGCAGACAGAAAATAGTGTTGTATTGCATGCCATTCGACAGTCTGCCTATCATTTCATTTTAAGTGGCGATTGGTAGTACACTCAAATATACGGTGATTTAAAGAACTATTATGAATAATATTGTGCATAACGGAATGAATTCTTTATGAGCTACTACCAGAAATTGATAGATGAAAAGTCGCAAACTTTTCTATCATTTTTAATTTCAAACATCGAAAATATATGAATTGCAGAACCTGAAAATTAATACATCGCAAACAAAATGAAATTAGGTACATAACAGTGAACTTGCTTTTCCATCCAAGACATCCGGCAGTTTTGAACAAAACATAACAATGTGTTTTCCATTTTTGGTTTTTTTTACTTGTTCTTGTTCACATTTCCTTGTTTTCTTTGTTTCTTTTTTTTAGTTACATTTCTTAATATGTTCAGCTAGGCAATAGTTCAAATGACTAATTACCAGCAGAGCCTATTGCTTGTAATCGATCTTTCGTAGCACTTGTTTTATTTCACTCTCCAAATTTCTATTGTTAAGTTTATTCAGTATTTTTATTCGATACCAGCATAGCCTTCTTAGCGCTTAACAAGTCATTTGATTAGACCTTTTCTAGTAATCATTCAATAGGCCTTGGAAAAAACATTTACATTGAAAACATTCCTTCCGCATCCTAAATATTTCTAAGGTAGAAAATTTCCTTCGCGCTACTTTGCTATTATTTACATCAATAACTTGCTTGTTGCAAGTGTTTCAAAGCTATTTACTATGCTCAACCTGTTTTTCATTGTCTGTCTCTCATATCTCAAGTTTATCAAATTCATGCCTTCAGTTTATTTAGTCAAGCTTTGATGAAAACTAAGGATGTAAGGATTATTCCATAGCCTCCTCATCCATCAGCTTCAATGATTGCAGTAAAGAAAATCATGGAAGTAACAAAATTTGTCAGACTTTTCTGCTCAAAATTTATTGTAATTGCAGAAGAGATATTTTTAACGCTCAATTGAAACCATTTAGGAAATTCTCACTATCAATATTCACCGAGTCGCCACAATCGTCTACAGTTTGAAGTAAGGTTGTCATCCGCCATTGTTCAAATATAATATTGTATTCTATGGTTTCTGCTCTCTGAAGCATCGTTGCCGGTTTTGATGATAACATCATTGTTGGTATAGGCGAAACAGAAATTTGAAAGGATCTCAAGCCTTTTTATTCCAAAATGTAAGACTTCTCCATTTTCCACTTTGCTTCGGACATCGCTTTGCTGCATTTGATATAAAAGTATTCATACTTTACCACCAATCGATAAAACGATAATCTGATTTCGCCGGGAGTTAAGTTATTGTTAACATGTCTGTATCTACTAATGAATTTTCACCCTATCTTCTTTACTGTTCTTTACCCGGTTTCATTAACTATTATAATCTCTCAAACGAGAAACTTAGCAACTTCCAGACTCCTCTCGACAACATCCATCTCAAAATGTCACTTTCTTTTGGTCAACACAGAGTCAAAAGCTTTTCAACAAATTCAAAGCTATTTAATAATCCAATTTTTGCTTACGCTTTGCAACCCTCATATTTCAATTGTCATACTTATAGATGCTTCTAATTATGGTATTGAAGTTATTTCCCATTGTTTTCATAACATGAGTGAGTGAGTAATATCTCATGTATTCAGATTACTGTTCTTATATGGGAAGAACTGCGTTTCAATGGATGAAGAAAATCCAGTGGAAAAGGGTCATGTGATAATGTTCATCAATACTTCCATAGTGCTTAAACTTGCGAAATCTTTAATCGATAATCAGAAAGTAACTGTTGGTTTCTGGAATAATACTGCCTGTTGTGCTGAATGTGCTGACAATCCATGTCATGCTTGCTCAACTTCGTTTTTTCTTTTGTTACTCAGGAAGAGAACTTTTATTTTATAGCTTGTTCCAGAAACTAAGCAGAAAATATGGCCCATGTTGCTAAAGTTCTACCGAAATTCACTCTTATAATCATAACTGATGCTGATAAAGAGGCCTTGTCCAGCTCTTCCTCCTCCTTTTCGGAGGACAAGAGCAACATGAAATAAAATGCACTAAATGACACTGATGAGACGGTAATGTAGCCGACGCTCTAATTTCAAGTTCTACAAAAATTGGGCTGTAATAATTTTAGCAAAATCGAAAATCAAAATTAAATCCTAATAAAGCCTAACGGCTTACGCAGTAAATTTTAAAATGCCACCTTCCGAAATCTGAAATGTTCGAACATATGATACTGCATAGCAATCTACGTCAGTATAAACTTTGTGAAATAAAATATTTATGCCCATTACCCTGTATGGAGCAATACAACAAAATCCGGACATTAAAAGTTAAAATATTGAAATCAAATTTCCGACTACACTGGAATCAGAGAATAGACAGACGATAAAGAATTCGAGATGTACTTATTGCTTCAAAAAAAAATTTGTAGAAAGTGTGATGGCCAAGACCTGACCTGAAGAAATGACTTATTAGCAAAATATAAGTAATGATGATGGCACAGCAAATATAAGAAGGGATTTAATGATAACTGATCACAACAGCATGGCAATATTACCATAAGATGATATTAGAAGCTTCTGGATCAAGGTGTGGTCGCAACATATCGGACAGAGTGAACTGTAACATCAACAAAAGTGGACAAGAAAAAAAACAATGACGGATTAATTAATTGGCAACTAAATAATTAAAAATGCTGCACCCGTAAGCATAAAAACGGTAATCAATCTTATTAAAACCAATTTATATTTTTTTTCATGGATAGATTGGATTAGAATTTTAACACTGGAAAAACAAGTGTATTCAAAGTAAAACTGGAAAAAATTAAAAATTATTCTGCTTTACTCATTTTCCCAACACTTCAAAATATACAATAAAATGAAGCAGTAATTGAAGAAAGAGATTCAAAAGGATTTGGAAAAACAAGATCACAATTCAATATTAGTATTTCTTACTACTGAGGCGTCCGCGAAAGTTGACCTTCTAAATTTTTCCAGAATTGGAAGGTTTGAATTCAGTCTTTTGAACATTTTGATCCTGTACGCTTAAGCTTTACAGAAAAAAATTTTTTGGAGTAATTGGAATATTCAAAAGTTATGCGATAAATTGCAAACAAAGAAAAACAATATCATGGATAATGACGAGTTAGCTAAAGTATACCTGAGACGTGTTTTCCAACACATTTGCTTTGCTATACCCTTGCAATAACATAAACTGGGAGTTTTAGACCAGATAAAATATTTTTCTCCGCGTTCCTCTTAAATCTGTTGTGCTATACAAAAGAATAAGGTTAAATTTAACACCAATGAAAAGAAAGTAAGCCAATTTTTTTGGCCAAAATACAATCGGCTAAAGCTGTAAATTATTCAGAACAAGATATTATACGATCAAAAACAAGAATTAGAATTCTGTTCCAGCCGTCGAAATTTTAAAAAGCCTTTAGCTTATATGCACAAGCTATTAATATATCAACAGATGTCGTGATTCATTCTTTACATACATGCAATCATTATTCTTTTGCACTGGTGTATTACCGTATTCACTGGATGAAGTAATAAGTAAATGTGAATATGATGCTCTTTGCTTACTTGTGAAACTGCCATCATGATGCAGTTTATTGATAAGGTCGTGTCCCGAAACAACACTGAAATTTAATAAAAATTCAAAATTATTGAAAGAAAAATTATAATTAAGTTTTCTTATAAAACACTTAGGTCAAAAAAATTCAGCATTTCTAAAGTTTTATGATAAATGTTCTTAGGAAAAAACCATTGAACAGTGTTGTGGAAGTGATAGGGGCAGAGTGCTGTTAAAGACCGACAGGATCTGTTTCGGAAGTTTCGTAAGCTTTTAATTACAGAAACTGCTAACGGGTGTTTGCAATCCAAATCGCCCGACAGCTGACCTGCGAGAACATTCAATGGCTCATATCTCTGATCTACGGTTGTGTCCGTTGTCCAGTTCCATCTTCACTGGAAAGCATGTTGCACTGAATAACCGCATGGTTTAACAGTTTTGGTAATTAGAAATTTGTAATTACCATTAGCTTAACCAGTCATTAGATCAATGTAGGTGACTGACAGTGTCCGAAATGTAGATGGACTCTGATTGGATACAATACATTAAATGATGGAGAACCTATAAGTCACTTTCTTGTAGGGTAAAGTCTCTTAGAGATTTTAAGCGAATCATTTCCACTATCGACGGTTAATTCTTTCAGAAAAAATATTTCCTAAATTCTTGAAATTTTTCTTATAAGGGTTAAAAAAATTGAGGTACCCATTCATAGTAGCCTTTTGTTGAATTTTTTTTCCCACTAGTTGTGACATAATTGATGGAGATGGTGGATAAAATCCAGGAGATGTTGACTGTTGCAATCCGGTGGCATCTATTGCAGTACAGCATGGAGTTCGTTCAATGGGTAATTCTGTAGTTGTAGTAGTGCAGGCTTTATCCGGAGTTTTCATGCATTTGCAGCATATGCATGCACATATGCATAGACATGCGGATAAACTTACAGCAGCCATACTGATAAGTAAGAGCGTCAAACCGGTTAATGAACCCAATGGGTCATTAGTCAAAACTAAAAAGATTTCAAATTTTACCGCAAACTTTTTAATTCTTATAAAAATTTCAACATGGAATCTCTTCAAATAGAAGTTGTATCTATGAATCTTTCCAAACCTCTTGCTTTTAAATACTATAGTGGAATTAAAATAAAATTTTCATTCTCTCATGCATCTTTTCTTTTAATGAGGCCATTGATATTTCCATCCATTTAATTAAAATTCAAAAATAAAAATGGAAAACAAACAGTCGCATTTGTGAGCAATTTGCAGTTCGCGTATCAAATCGGATTCATCCTTGCAGTCTGGATATCGATTGCATGCAAGTTCTGCAGCAATACATTCTTGATTCTTGCATGTGAATTCCCGTTGGGCATTACATGGTGCTGAAATGATTATTAGCAGAAACTGATCATACATTGACGCAGTACGTTTCTTTGAACATAGCCAAGCAATCAATCCTATTTCCCACAAAAATTTCTAATGTGAGCATTTTAACATTTAATTATAAACCACTTCTTATTGGGATAAGGATGAAATGAAATGAAACGAATAATATTGAAAAGGGTATTTTTTTATCTTCAATAGAATTATGTCCGAAACAATTGTTCTCATTATAACTACTAAATTAAAAAAACAATAACAGTTAAATAACAATAGGAAAAATAAATTCACACAAATTACAAATTTACGCAAATTTAACAAAACACTTCGGAAAAGAACTCACCAATATTTGATTTTCGAAATGCGGACCAAAGTAATCGAAATCCTTCACCATTATGATGAAATGGTAATTCGGCATCCGTATGCCACCAAAGCGTTAATGCATTCTCTGTTGAAACGGCCAATTCACTAGCATTTCGAATGGTACCGCAAAATTGGCCAAGTATGGGTCCGGGTGAAGTGTCTTCTTGGGTTGCATCTCGTAAAGTCTGCGGATCAATTGGTTTTTCATGCTTAAATTTTTTTAAACTTAAAAATCGCAAGTAAATTCTGTAAATCATTCATTTAGCCACCAATTCCGAAGTAGATAGAACTTTAAAATGGATTGTCCAAAACATTTTCTCGAACTTAATTTAAATTTAACCACTTACAATAATTCATTCAGTTGCATGTAGAAAAAGGAACTAACAAATTTTACGATTGAAAATGTGGAGAAAGAGATGAAAAAGGAATTATCGTCAACTGTAGGTAATTTTAACTCCATAATTTCAAGTTTTAACTAAAATACTAAATCAAAATTTATCAGAAAATGAAATGCAAAAATTCGCATAAAAAAAAGACTTTATAGCTAAGAAAATTGCAACTGATATAAAACACACATCAAAAACATGGAGCGTATCCTTATCACAGTTATGAGCATCACCAAGCACATTGAAATCAAGCACACGTAAGCGTATACGATAACCAGATGGTGCCGTTATCAGCAGAAAGCAATTCTTGGATGCATTATACGGAATGCTTCCGTATAATTGATGTGATATCAATAAACCAGACAGAGCAGTTACACGTCGTTCCAGTTTTGACTTACAGTTATCTAAGTAGCTTGCACCGTCGAAATAACCTAAAGTATGTGAATTACACAAAATTTCTATCAAAACAGAAATTTCCGTTAAACGTTAAAAAAGTGAAAAGAATTTTTTAGAACACATTGTGGGACGGTTTATTTTCGGATTAACTACAAATAGTTTCAATTTGCATAATAATAAGTAATATATATAATGTTGAAGACTCACTTATCTGTGGCTCGTATGATAGCACAGCTTGGCTCAGAGTAATTAAAATATGGCAGGAAATAAGCAAAAGGAATGTTGTACGAACCGTACAAATGATAGCCATTATTTAGGATAATGCCGATGATACTGATGATTTTGGTAGTGAAAACAATGTTAATGATGATGATGATAATGAGGATAGAACTGATATTGTTTCAGAAATCCCAGCTGGTGAAGATCATTTATAATTGACAAACTGTTGAAATTGCTGCGATGAGTGAAGCATATGACTAATTTTATTCGAACCTGAAACTTCTGCAAAATTAAACCGATTCTAAAATTTAAAAGAAGTTTGAAGTGGCTTTAATTTCCATGACATGAATGCTAGTAGGACATCACAAGCATATGTGATTTAATTTCACAATGATTCAAGATTAGGAATGTTGAATGCAGGCGAAACGATATTCCGAATTATGAATAAAACATATTCTAGGACAATGGTTACTAACGGAGGGAATAGAAAATTTCAATGAAATAACATTCGTATGGATACTAAGTAAAAAATGTAAGTACGAAATGCAAGTATAATAGTACAAAAAAAGTCACTTATGATAATCAGTTACGATTACTCCTACCTTAATGGTTTTCCACAACCTCATCTGCTTTCCCTCATTTTATTAAGATTTCCTTAAATAATTTAGGCATTATTACCTAATATTTTTAAAATTTTGGAAGCAATAACCTAATGAAAAGTTGGTAGCAATGATAATGAACAAAAATAGCTCCAAAAAACTTCAAATTTTAGCATAACTATCATCACTGTGGTAATTGACAACTGCATTGTCGCTATAGTTTCTGCTATTGATATTGATTTGCCACAGCAATCGCTGCGACAAAAAAAAAGTGATATTTCAGGATTGAAAAAAAATTATAAATGTTGTTAAATTAATGATTTTCATTATGACATTTGAGGAGTAATAGTGCCCAACTTTACTCCGTTTTGACTTAGCTTATATACTTACAACTTGCTTTTCTTTACATTTTGAAAATCTTTTTTGTTCTATGAAAGATAAATAAGAGATCTTAGAAGTAAAGAACGTACATATCCATGATTATGAGCGATAAAAATGACGAATAAAAAGACATAAATTAATATATCTGAGCAACGCGTTTGATTGATGTACAGTTTAGTGCTTGTCGAAAGCAGAAAAATGCCACACTCGTCTACGTGACATACTTCTTGTTCCTAGAAAGTCAGAGTTTGTATGTAACATGAAAACAACCGTTTCAACTGTTTCATTTAACTTCTTGGTAATTAATAGCTTTCTTTTAACTTCTTGATAATTAATACCTTCTGGAGTCGTCAATCAAGTACGTAGTTTTATAATATGCTTCAATGTTTTAAAAAAAAATATTTAGAAAGTTGTTACTGATACGGATGAATTTTGTTATCTTTGTGGTAACCAGCAAAGATCAGTGATAGAGACTTGAAATCTCATTTAGTATTTGGATTAATAAAATTAAATTAATTAAAGGAAATATATGTTATCACGGAAATATAAAGGGCAAGCGATGCTATGTGGTAAGGGCAAATAGTGCACTTTGACTGCATGGAATTGTTATGCAAAACGATTACAATTACGTAATAAGACGTGACTTTCTTCACATGTAAGAGGTGAAATAAATAAATAAATTAGTAAATAAACAAATACACTTATTTACAAATGTATTTTTTTAACGAAGATATTAATGAAAATAAGAAAGATTGTGACGGTAATCGCGATGTGAAAAGATGGGTGGGGAGACAGCTCCATCGTCTCCAACTCCTACTACTATTTCAGGTTTAGGATTCCAGCATTACTGATAACAGCTTCCCAATCTATTTGTCTCAAAGAAGGAAGAGTATCATTGTTTTTATTTCATTTTTAGTCCTCTCTATTATTGGCTAGCTTCTTTCCGTTTATCCGCGAGAAAAATATCACACTCTCTTTTGGATCAGGAATTCAATGTGAAAAGTTTCAAAATTCCGGTCCAAAGGAAAAGTGAAAACCATGTTTTTTGTTGTGATAAGGGGAAAAAAAGAAAAAGTAGTGAAGAGTTTATATATTTCCAAAATTGTGAATTGTTGAAAAATATATAGGGAAGGAGAAGTAAATGTTTAAATAGTTATCAAGAAGTAAAAAGCAGGAGAGAGAGAGAAGGAGAGAGGAGATGGAAGAAAGAGGAGGAAAATCTGGAAATTTTGAAGCTTCTTAAGGCTCTTCGTTGATGGACCATTGGAGAACATATGCATCATCCGTGATGGCAATCCCAACGTCAGCTCAATCTATCATTTCCAGGCACCACTGTGTATATATTGGGCTTCGATCAACTCCTCTACCCTTCCTTTCTTTCCATTCTATCACTCTTCTCTCCTTTTCACTCTATTTCCAATTTTTATTATTTTCAACTTGAAATACCAATAAAGAGAGTCTCTAATCTGTTAATAGTTTAGTGAAGATTTACTGTTTTCTATTCCAATTTGAATGATTTATTGATATCCATATTTCGTATACCATTATTTCCATTCAAAAATTCTGTATCCATTTATCTTCTCTTCATTGAAAATTCTTCCCTTATAAATTAATAACCTTCTATTGACGACTTCTTCTATCGAAATTCAAAAATTTATAGTTCTTTCATAACTCCAGCTTAGTTTATAAAATGGATTTCGAATATACTAAGAATTCAAATTCTGTAATTAAAATATATAGAATTTCTCCTTGGCCTGAAATTAACTGGTCAGGAAATGGGTCGGAATTTCAAAATTCATTTATGATTTTAAGGTTTAGTAAGATACACTGCTATAAAAGTGTTAATGTATGATCAATGAATCTATGAACAAAAGCAAAAGGCTTTATTAGAGGCTATTGTATTGATGACCATTGTAAATAACTTGTCAGCAATTGTGCATTCACATCAAAGGCATCGATGACATACTTCTCCCAAATGTGCATTTATCCCGCAATATCGGCATTACTGAAAATGCAAATGAAGACAAGTAGAAGAGAGAAGGTGAGAGATCAATAAATGAAACAATGAGTGAAATGGAACAAACGAAAATAAATGAGTGAATCAAATTGCATAAAATATGAAAGGTATCTTAGCGCTACAATTTAAGAATTATTAATATTTAAATTTCATATTAAATTCAACTTACTATCAATTCTTTGGCAAAGCGTACTATATCCTATACGCATCAGTGAAGTGTATCGCATTCCTCGTAAACTATACATACGTAATAACGTATTGATAATTCAGGAATGATACATATTCATTAGTGAAATGTTGAAGATTTCTATTATTTACACTAATCAGTATGCAAATTGTAATTAATCTTTGATGAATCTGATGATCAATTATGATTGGAAATTTTGGAAAAATTGGGAGAAAGTAAAAATGAAGGAGGGAAAAACAAACTGATTGCATCTATTGTGAACGCCATTAAAAAATTAAACATTATAGGGCAGCTCAGACGAGCTTTTCTGGAAGATGCCTGAAGCACGGGAAGCAAAACTATACAGTGGACGATCGTAGCAGGCAGCTTGGGTTAGGAAAAAAGATAAATGGCTATGCAAGAGGTGGGTACGTTATCAGGATGAGGCGCTGCACAGGCACCATATGAACCTACAATCAGTCCAATTAATAATCGAAACATGTATATGTGTCTGTGTCTGTGTATCAGCGTGCATGTGTGTGTGTGTCTGCGTGTGGTGTGTGTGGTGTGTGTGTCTGTATGTGTGTCTGTGTGTGTGTCTGTGTGTGTCTGTATGCGTGTGTCTGTGTGTGTGTCTGTGTGTGGTGTGTGTGGTGTGTGTGGTGTGTGTGTCTGTGTGTGGTGTGTGTGGTGTGTGTGTCTGTGTGTGTGTCTGTGTGTGTGTCTGT